TCTGGGGCCTGCGCTGGGATGGCCGGGTTGGAAGGGGGGGACACACAGGTTTTACTCTCATGCCAGCTACGCCTGGGGCCTCTGTGTGGGCAATCAAGGGACCTTCCCTCGGGCAGAAGCCTGTGGAAACATCCAGTCTGACGCCTCTCGTTTGGCACAATGAAGGGCAAATATCTCTCCATTATCTACTAGAAAATGAATGAGCAAACACAATCTCTAAATCAAGGGAGACTTAAACAGGAGATCATATTTCCTATTCCCTAGGTGTTAGTAATATTCTGCAAAAAGGTCATGGGTCTTGGTAACTATGTTAAGAACTATGGTCACAGTTTATTAACCTCTTATGTTCTTTGGAGGAAAAAAACAATCAGAATATAAGGTGTTTGGACCAATATAACACAAACCTAGGCATGCCAAGCTCTGTGTGGGGGTTTTACAGGTACCTTATTTAAATGTCACAGTAGTTCTATAGTATGACCACATCACTATGAATTGTCTAAGAAGTTTGAGTGGGTGCCTCAAAGGCCACACAACTGGTAAGTAGGAAAGCTTTTAAGTGAAAAATCTGGTAAAAAAAAAAAGGTCACATAGCTGGAATGTGGTCTTGAATTTACCTTACCCTTAAACCCATCTTTATTCCATTGCACTCTAATGCAATATTTCCCAAATTTGTCTGGTAAGACTCCTCAGTGTGAGTGCTTGTTAAAACTCCACTCTCTCGCTCTCTGCCCCTCCCCCTCTCACTCTCTGTCTCTCTCCTTCAAAAAATAAACATTAATTTTTTTTTTTTTTTTAAAGGAGTGCCTGGTGGCTCAGTCAGTTGAGCATCTGACTTTGGCTCAGGTCGTGATCTCGTGGTTCGTGGGTTCAAGCCCCAAGTCGGGCTCTGTGCTGACAACTCAGAGCCTGGGGCCTGCTTTGGATTCTGTGTCTCCCTCTCACTTTACCCCTCCCTCACTCACACTCTGTCTCTCTCTCTCTCCTTCAAAAATAAATAAACATTTAAAAAAACAATTAAAAAAGAAAAAAAAAATCTCCACTCCTGGGTCCAATCCCGCTGCAGATCTAATAAGCCAGAGTCTCCTAGAAATGGGGACAGGAATTCACCCTAGGTGAATCTGACCTAGCAAGTTAGGTAAACACTGCTAAAATGCCTTAATTTCTTTTTAACCTAGTAATTCTTGGCAAGGTGTGTCGAAAAATGTCTTCTCTTTTTAATAAGCTTTTTATTTTGGAATAACTTTAGATATGCCTGGAAGTCGTAAAGATGATAGAGAGCCCGTATACTTTCTCCCATCTATTTCCACCTAATGTGAAGATCTTACACAACCATGGTCCATTTGTCAAAACTAAGAAACTAACACTGAGAAATTACTGTTGACTGTGTTAGGAATCACTTGTCTTGGACACGGAAGGAAAGGAAAGACAGGCCAGCCCAGAGTCCCTTTTTTTTTCCTATTCCTCAGTGAGCTGAAGGCACACAGCGTTGGTAGAAGGTGCGTGATTAAGAAGCAAGTTGAGTTTAGCTCTTTGCTGTATCTATTGCAGGAATGAAGTCCCTTCTCAGCAGTCAGACTGTTGACCTTCCAGAAAATGTCAACAGCACTCTGAAGGGACCCACGACTACTGTGAAGGGCCCCCGAAGAACCCTGTGGAGGGTTCCTCATTAGAAGTCAGTCTCCTCGGAAAGAAAAAGAAGAGGCTCTGAGTTGACAAACGGTGGAAATGGAAAAGAACTGTCTACTGTTCTCACTATCTGTGGTCACCTACAGGCCATGGTCAAGGACTCTACATTGGGCTTCCTTTACCAGATGAGGTCTGTGTATGCTCGTCTCCCTGTTAATGTCATTACTCAGGAGAATGGTTCTCTTGTTGAAATCCAGAATTTCTTGGGTAAAAATCGGGGCGCCTGGGTGCCTCAGTTTGTTAAGCATCAGACTTTGGCTCAGGTCATGATCTCAGGGTTTGTGAGTCTGAGCCTCTCGTGGGGCTCTCTGCTGTCAGCACAAAGCCTGCTTGGGATCCTCTGTCCTGGCTCTCTCTCTCTGCCCCTCCCCCACTCACGCTTGCAGTGCTTTTTCTCCCTCAAAAATAAACATTAGGGGCGCCTGGGTGGCGCAGTCGGTTAAGCGTCCGACTTCAGCCAGGTCACGATCTCGCGGTCCGTGAGTTCGAGCCCCGCGTCGGGCTCTGGGCTGATGGCTCAGAGCCTGGAGCCTGTTTCCGATTCTGTGTCTCCCTCTCTCTCTGACCCTCCCCCATTCATGCTCTGTCTCTTTCTGTCCCAAAAAATAAATAAATGTTGAAAAAAAATTTTTTTTAAATAAAATAAAATAAACATTAAAAAAAATACATCCAGAGACCTCGGCTGAGGCCAGGTGTTGTTTGTTCAGCATCTCAAGCCCAGACAGATGAGTTAATTCTTGAAGGAAATGACATTGAAACTGTAGCAAACTCAGCTGCTTTGATTCAGCAAGCCACAACAGTAAAAAACAAGGAAAATTTGGGGATGGTTTGTATGTTTCTGAAAAAGGAACAGTTCAGCAGACTGATGGATAAGATCTAAGTTGTCCAGCTACAGAAATAACAAGATGCCAGATGAGTTTTCAGACTTATTTGTGATATTTTAAAGATGCAATAAAAGCTGTATTGATTTGGAGCTTTTTCTTAAACCAATAAAAAAAAAAAAAAGAAGAAGCAAACTGAGTTTATTTCCCACAGGATTTACACTCTTCTGGTAAGAACAAAATACATATGCATGCACAGGCTATGAAATGCAAATTATGTAACTTCGGTGATTTCATAGATGAGTTAAATACACTTCGTTTTTATTTTATATTCTAGAGTTCTTTTTTTTCTAATGCTTATTTATTTATTTTTGAGAGACAGACAGAGAGAGAGAGAGAGAGAGAGAGAGAGAGAGAGAGAGAGAGAGATGCAAGGAGAGGGACAGAGAGAGAGGGAGATGGCGAATCCCAAGCAGGCTCTGCACTGTCAGCATGGAGGCTGATATGGGACTTGAACCCACGAACCGTGAGATCAAGCCCTGAGCTGAAATCAGGAGTCAGAGGCTTAGCCGACTGAGCCACCCAGGTGCCCTGAGTTAAATACGCTTCTATTTGCCTTTAGAACTGGCATTGCAAAATTCACACTAACAATTAAAAATTTTGTTTCCTTTGCTTGGCAAGGCATTACAGAGCAAATAAAAAATACCGTGACTCGTTGAGGGAGAGACTGGGGAAGACGGGAAAAAAAAAAACTTTATACTTCAGTTCCATAACTGCACTTTTCCCCTACTTTTTGGACCAGCGGCTCCACATTTTCATTTTGCACTGGGTCCCACAAACTATGTAGTCAGTCCAGCTGATCCCTAGTCAAGAGGCATTGTCCTAACTCAACAATCACCACCGTCAGAAAATGGTAGTGATTGTGGCAGCCAGACAGACAAGTAGAAAGACGTGTCGGGAGAGGGGGACCTTCTGCCATCCTTGGGCAATAACAGCAACGGAGGGGGTTTAGTCTCCCACATGCACCAGCCCAGGTGGCTATTGGCACCTCAGGGTGATTCCCGGTATTTTAGCACTCCTAGATATGACCCGGGGCAGTGGGATCCTGGTTGGACGTACCCAGTGGCCCAGTGCTCTCTGATGCAGAGTGTGCAAAGGCAAATGCCACATCAAGAAGCAGTTAAACACTTGACCTGCCCCGGGCCTGTGGCCTTTGCATGTGACACTCTGTATAACACTGCTTAGTTATTTTTGTGCTCCAGTGGGCAGTTCTTCCTTTTTAGCTCGACTATTAAATCAAAGAAGTATCCTCCGCATCTCCAAAGCCTGCTGACTCATTAAACACAGAATGGGGTGTTTCTGTGAAAAGGCAGCGCGGTGGGTTTGGGACAGCAGCTTTAATTTATATCTGAAAACAAATTAGGCTAATGGAGCAGAACAGCTACAAATGCTGTACAACCAACCTGCACCAGGAAACAGAACGTGGCTCTTTGGCTAATTAAAGGACACGATGGCTCTCTCTTCCACTGTGAAATTTTTTTGCGATGTGTCTTTTAGGATCAGGTGCTTCTTTTAAAATAAGAAGCGGGGGTGGGGTGGGGTGGGGCAGCGCCTGGGTGGCTCAGTCGGTTGAGCATTCGGCTCAGGTCGTGATCTCGTGGTCTGTGGGTTCAAGCCCCGCGTCGGGCTCTGTGCTGACAGCTCAGAGCCTGGAGCCTGCTTTGGATTCCGTGTCCCCTTCTCTCTCTGCCCCTCCCCTACTCACGCTCTGTCTCTCTCTGTCTCTCAAAAATGAATAAATGTTGAAAAATAAAATAAAATAAAATAAAATAAAATAAAATAAAATAAGAAGGATCTCCAGCTGGTGATGTGAGGTCTGTCCTCCCCGGTGGAGTGAAGCCACGCTGCTGGAACACATGGAAAGAGACTCCAGCCACAAGCATGAGGAATGACGCTTCATGTGTCAAGGTGACCACTGGCAGCCCTGGGCATGGGCTTGTCCTGTGTCACCCAGCGGTAAGACTCACGATCAAGCACCAAGCGCAGTTAGTAGGAGGCCCACGCAAACATGCACCGCCCAGAGCTCTTCCCTCTGTGGAAATCAGAGCAGGGGGTTCCTCTCCCTTCCCCTCCCCAACAGGCCTCTCACTTGGCTTCTCCCAACCCCCAGTTCTCTACACCTCTTGTTCCCATACTCTGTCTTCAGCTGTCCTCTTTATTGTTTTTTCCTTCCCCTGCACCCATGTGATTTCTGCCAAGGTGGGGACTTTCTCTACCTTGTTCCCGGCTGTGTCCCGGTCCCTTACATATTGCCCAGTACGTGCTAAGGGCTGGATCATTATTTGTTGAATGAACTGTCAAGTGCAACAGTCAAGCCTACTTCTCTCCATGCCACATCCTTAAAAAACCCCTGCGCGCAGATATATGATGCACACCTCCCCAAATTTGCACGTGTGGTCCCTCCCTCCCCTTTCTACCTGTGCCCGGCTCTTCTCTCTCTGTCTGCATCCTCCTGGAGCCTCTACAACTCCGTAATGCCTTCCCGCGGTGCACACTCGATACTGAGCCGCGCTGAACGGGGCTTCTATAGTCCGCAGCCTCCCCCCAAGAAATACTAAGCAACACCAGATAGTGCCACTTGTGTCTTTTCCCCTATCCTGGTGCTTTCGATGTTTGAGGAATGTATACGTAAATGAGCTATCCAAAGACACACAGCTAGTTAGTGGCAGGGACCAGGCTAGTGCCCAGATATCCTGGTCTTCCATACATGGCACTTTGTTATTTCCATCAGAGAATGCCTCCGAGAAGCCCTTCTCACCAACTTCCCCCAAACCCACCGTGTAGTTTCCGCACGTCTACAAGTGTCAGCTTCCTGGTACCCAGCCTGTATGCTGTCTTCCAAAAACAAACGCTTCCTTAATTCGTCGTCCTAATTCCTCACATTGAATCGCAATGTCATCCGATTGATTAATTTTCACAAAGTGTTAAAGCACAGAGAGATCTGGGGCATGAAGAGTTGGTTGGAATTTACAGATGTTTTGAAGTTACTTACACCGAAGGAATAACATCCTGGGCACATTTGCAAGGTTTTTGGAGTCCGTTCCGTGAACACATTTTCTTTTTCATGAAAAATCTCAAACACACATAAAAATAACAGGACCAGTACGTTAGTAGGAATAATACAAGCCTCGTAGATTCATCACTCAGCTTAACAATTATTAATGACTTGCAACCTTTCCTTTTTCTTTATTATTCTTTGTTGAATTATTTTGAAGCATATTCCAGAGACGGCATATCGTTTTATCGTTCTTCAAAATGCCCCCCCCTTTTTTTAACATAACCACCCCTAACAAATTAACAATAATAATTACTTAAAAATGCGATAAAATTTTCACAGAGGTGTTTGGAGGGGGTGGGTAGAGCTTCTCTGTACTCTCTAAGTGTATAACAGAACAGAAATAAACCCCACTGAAGGAAGAGGCCTGCGTGTATCCATTTTACCTTCTCAGAAATTGTAGATGGAAGTCTGAAACGGCCCAGACTTCTTTTCCTGGATGAGTGGAGCTTCACTGGAACTTTGTTAAGAATCTAGAATTTTCTCCTCTTAGGGTCTCAGTAAATGCTGGCTTAGGAGAGCTGCATTCTCTCTGGGGCCCATCCCCAGGCCATGTTTACACTGTCCAGGCCCTTTAAAGCTGGCCTCTCTGTTCACCACCTACCGGCAGTCTAAACACCCTTTCATTTTCTTGGCCCTTCCATTTCATAAGCATACTGACCAGGCAACAATAAAGAGAAGGTATTCGGATTAGTTAAGTGAATTAATATTTAAGTTTAAACTTTCAAAAATCCTGGTATCACCTATACGGGATCCACAGGGCTGGGGAGAGAGAGCTAAAGAGACCCCAGGATGGGAACCGCCTGGCAGAGCCTTTCTTGCCTCACCAGAAAGAACTTGACCATGGGCAGGTCCTCCCCAGAAGGTTCTCTGGCCGCTTCCAAGGGCCAACGCCCCGTCGCCGCTCACACCCTCCCAGATTTGGCAGGACCCAATTCCTCCCCCTCTTTCCCTCCTTCCTCCCACCCACCCCTGAAGCTCATTTCCCTTCCTTCTAGAGCACAGCTTGTTTTCTCTCGTTGCTAAGCAGCCTGGTGCTCTCTGGCAGTGCTTGCTGTCGCCTGTCCACTCCCGCCCTATTCCGATTATTCACATTAACCCTCTGTGACATAGATTAAAAACCTGGGGTTGGGTGACAGTCCAAAGGATCACATCAGGGGGCCAAGGACAATCTACGCTTTGTGTTCCCTAGCACTGTATCCTCTCTGGGGTCGAGGAAGTGTGATGGCTGAGGGTTCCGAGCCCACACACAGCTGGCTTTGAGTTCGGATCCCGGCACTCAGTAATGGAGTGACCGTAGTAACTTCTGGGAAGTTACTCACTCTTTCCAACTAAGCCATGGTCTTCTCGTCTGTGAAAGGGAATAACATAATGGTTGCAGCATTTGCCTCCTCTGAAGGTTAAATTACTTAAAGCGTGTCGAGGGCTCAGTATAGTGTCTGTTATGTAGTGAGAACTCACAATGTATTAGCTGATACTGATGCAATTTGCACAGCACTGCCACGTCCCGCGTCTGCTTTCACAACAGTGTTAGTTACCTCGTGGAGGTAACCATTAATATTTCCATTTGGGGTGTGGAAAACACAGGACAGAGAGGTAAAGCAACTTGCTCAAAGACAAACAGCTAAACTAGTATTGGAGTGGGACTAGTTTTGTGTTTTATGTTGTCACTGGGTCCCAGACCTATCTGAGGCTTAAGATCAATCCCACCCGGACCCTTCTTTGGGGAAGGGAATTTATTTGGAAGCAATCAACCCCATAGGCTTTGTTTCCAACTTCGAAACAGTATAGTATTTGAAGTATAGTATTTGATCAATACAGTAAATCCTCCCCAAGATGAAAATATGCGTGCATCCATTTCCATAGCTGGTATAATGAGAATGAACAGATGATTTGGGCTTCGAGTCAGACCACTAGGGCTGGAAAGGGAAAATTTGGCCTTGAAGTACATGGTACTGACTCACACCTGCAATTCATACTACGCATAGAGCTTAGGGAAGCCAAGCTTCATAAAAAAAGGAAGAGCACATAACGCTATTCCTGAAAAAGCAGATAATGTTAAGTCTTATCTCTCAGCCCCTAATTCTTTTTTTTCTAATTTTTTTTTTCAACGTTTATTTATTTTTGGGACAGAGAGAGACAGAGCATGAACGGGGGAGGGGCAGAGAGAGAGGGAGACACAGAATCGGAAACAGGCTCCAGGTTCTGAGCCATCAGCCCAGAGCCTGACGCGGGGCTCGAACTCACGGACCGCGAGATCGTGACCTGGCTGAAGTTGGACGCTTAACCGACTGCGCCACCCAGGCGCCCCGCCCCTAATTCTAATTACGATACTTCCTCTTGTTAAAGGTGGTGAATCCAGCCAGCTTCCAAGGACTCGGGAGGCTCAGATGTGATGCCTGAAACTCCTTCCCTTAGTTGTGTTTCGCAGCCCGAGGCTGCACTTGACCGCAGCCTGGTCCTGGTCTCTCAGGGGGACCTAGTGAGAGCCCTCAAGCCTTGGCTTTCTCCTCTTCTGGAAGATCAGCTCGAAGACCGCACAACACTAACGTGGCACTTGAGTACCACTTTTCCAATTTTTGTTACACCCTCGACCATTATTTAGTCGACATTTTCTTTGAGTGCCATCCTTTTATGATTAAAAACTTTTTTCAATCCTTGTGTGAGCCAGGAGAGGGTGGGCTTTGCTGAAATAATAAGCCCTGGTATCTCAGTGGCTTTCGCACAGCAAAGGTTTATTTTTCATTTGCGTGACATCCAACGTGAGTCGGACGACTGTGCAGGGCCGCTTTCCTTGAAGGGGAGTCTTAGCCAATGGCCCTGACATCCAGGCTCCCTCCATTTTGTAATGCCACCGCCTCAGGACGTGGTGAAGACATTCAGGACATGCTACCCCACCATGTGCCGCTTTGGTATATTGATTTTGAGTTGAAGGCCTTTGAAAAACAGCAAATGCGGGGAGAGACAAGGCTTACTCTGAATTCTCGTTATTTGCCTAACGACCTAGGTTCCAGAAGGACTCAATTATCCTAACCCTACTTCCCAAAGGCCAGGAAAGCTCGATTCTAATCGCAGGAGAGGAGACTGGATGCGAACACCACACCCAGGCAAACTGGGTCACAAAGGATCACGTCTCCCATTTGTTCTTCCAAAGGCCCATTCATCTTTCCTAAATATCATTGACTCTCCCCTGAGTTGCCCTTCCCCCGCTTCCCCTGTTAAGATGACACATGAACTCTCATTGAGGCGGGGGTATTCATGTTTTTTCTTGTGATGCCCCGTGCACGTACTATTTAAAATGAACACATGTGTATGCCTTTACTTCCGTTCATCTGCCTGCTGTCAGTTTACTTTGTAGACTCAGCTATTGAACCAAGGAGGGCGGAGGGAACGTCTTTCCTCCCCGACTGTGGCATCCAGGGTCACGGAGGCAGGAGAGAGAGAGAGAGGCAGGAGGCCTGCACACTGGCTTCGGAGTTCTGAGCCCAGAAGGGAGGTCAGTTGTTTCTGCTCGCGTTTTGCTGGTGATGAGCTGTCCCGCGGCCCGCCTAACTGCAAAGGGGCGTGGAAGTGGGCGTGAGGCACGTAAGGTATTTGCTTAGCACAACGCCCCGCCAGTGGGACGGAAATGGAAAGCTGGTGTTATCGCTTGCTGTGAATAAGAGATGGTCATAAATAGAGGTAACGAGAACAACGTGTTACATTCTACGAGGGTATTTTTGTCTGCTGAACACTCTGATTCTTACGTTGATTTACTTGCGCGAGAGATGTTGGAGGTGCAGGGGGGAGACAGCGAGAGATACAGGTGTTGAAGGCATATTCGCACCACATGGAGAACCCTCTCTGATTTCCGATGGAATCAGAAAGATTGCAGGATCACTGAAGCGGGAATAACTTTCTCATTATAGGAGTGCAGGTTTTGCTTAACACCTTGCCTCGCGCTGTCTAAAATCATCTCTCTTTCCACCCAAAAACTCCTGGTTTCCACCCAAAAACTCCTGGTTTCCACCCAAAAACTCTGGTGCGAAGAGCACAGAGATGATGATTACCACCCCCACCCCCACCCCGAAGATCTCAGAGAATGGAGAGACCGAGAAATAAACCAACAGCTCCAATCCAACGCACACAACGCATTTGGGAACCCCGAGGTGCTATTGCAGTAGTCCCTGAACGACCGCTGATTTTCCCAGAAAAATTCTGTCACGTCCTCGTTGGTTTGCGTTCACTGTTTGATTTTGCTTCCTTTTAATTTTTCTTTCGCTGATGTCGATGGTGTTCTATTTAAGGTAAAACCCACGGGTAGAAGGGGAAAAAAACCCCAGCTAATGTTTTCCAGGTACTTTCAATCTAGTGTGTCTTGAGGCGTGAGACCTCCTCAGGGGGCCACGTTGATAAGAAACATAAGGCCGTTTCAGGATGTGGGGAAGCCGGATTGCAAGTTGTGGAGAAGGCTCATAACGATGTCGGATCAATACAGCCGTTATCGACTCAACTCACCGAATGGAGGGGACAGGCGGGAAGCCCTGGGTCCAGCCCCAGGTCCTGGTGCTCCGTGGCATGTAGCACCGAGTGCCTTGTGAGCAAGTTTTCTTCTTGGGAAACTCAGAGAATTGGACGAAATGTGCAGTTCCTGAACTCTGAATGTTCATAGATGCAAAGGGAGCTCTCTCATCAAGCCTGCCCACAGGGGACAGATGACCTCGGAGTTCCTGGACTCTATGTTTAGCCACAGCCATCCCCTCATTTGTTATTCTAGCGCATTTGGGGGAAAACAGTATTAACCTCATCACTGCTGCTTCCATTTACTTCATACTTACTGTGCGCCAGGGGCTTTAGCAGTATTAATTAACTTAATCTTTTAAAAATGAGTACCGTGGGGCACCTGGGTGGCTCAGTCGGTTAAGCGTCCGACTTCGGCTCAGGTCATGATCTCACGGTCGTGAGTCCGAGCCCCATGTCAGGCTCTGTGCCGACAGCTCAGAGCCTGGAGCCTGCTTCGGATTCTGTGTCTCCCTCTCTCTCTGCCCCTCCCCTATTCATGCTCTGTCTCTCTCTGTCTCAAAAATAAATAAACGTTAAAAAAAATTTTAGGGGCGCCTGGGTGGCGCAGTCGGTTAAGCGTCTGACTTCAGCCAGGTCACGATCTCGCGGTCTGTGAGTTCGAGCCCCGCGTCGGGCTCTGGGCTGATGGCTCAGAGCCTGGAGCCTGTTTCTGATTCTGTGTCTCCCTCTCTCTCTGCCCCTCCCCCGTTCATGCTCTGTCTCTCTCTGTCCCAAAAATAAATAAACGTTGGAAAAAAAAAATTAAAAAAGAAAAAGAAAAAAAAATTTTTAAAAAAGGAATAACTGACACACACACAAAAAATGAGTACCGTTATCATGCCCATTTTAGAGATGGGAAAACTGAGGCACAGGGGGGTTGAATGCGTTCTTCGGTATCCGGTATCTAGAAAGACGCAGGCAGGTGTTCAGTCCCAGGCAGTCTGGGTCCAGATCTTGCAGTCACTACCTTGCAGTGTCTCTAGGCAAGGGAGTTACAAGTGCTAATAAACAGATGAGGAATGTCATAGTGAGTCCTACAAAACAAGTAGTTTTTTGAAGATTAAAAAACATGAGACAATGACAGACGTTGCACATGTACCGGAGTGGAGTCCTTTTAGAGAAGAAACGGCATGGATCACACAGTGTGGGAGAAGGGGAAACGCCTCATATTGTCATGGACCTACCAGGCTTTAGGCACATGAACACCTTTGCTCCTCCCAGCAGCCTCAGGAGGTAGGGCCATTACCACCCCCAGCCCAGGTCATACAGCTGGTAAGTGGTGGACACGAGGTCCCCCAAAGACCCAAGTGTCTTAGGGCGGAGCTGGTGCCCCAGACCACTGCCTGGACACCAGCAAGGGCAGGGATAGGGAATCCACATCTGTCGGTC